GGAGGGAGGGAGGGCTACCTGCGGTTGAATTTTTGCATTGGCCACCAGTGTCCGTCGGGCTGTGATGCTGAAGGCTGATCCATCCAGATCAGTGACCTGCAAACAAAAGGAAAGTGTCAGATCCAGGCAGGAATCGGGGGAAAAAGGAAGGCGGAAGGAGAAGAGAAGAGAGGAAAGCAACGAGGAGAGAGTAGAACGGATCGTTGGAACGAGGGGAGGGCGGGTGGGAGGAGGAAGAGAGAGAAGGAGGAGGAGATGAAATGTAGCGGGGCAACAAGGATAGGAATCGTGCTCTTCACCACTGCTCCTGCCTCTGTGCAGATCAAGAAGGCAGCTGCGACATCCCAAGGATGCATCCCCCATTCGTAGTAACTGAGGAAGGGAGGGAAGGAGCCGTCAATGGCAGCATGCAGCTGCAGGATCGAGTTCCTACCCATCCACGTTCCCAGAAGCGACCGCGCACATGTTCAGGGCACAGGAGCCAAGACAACGGAGCTGCTTGCAAGTTCAGCAGCAACGAGGCCGAAACAAACGGTCGAAATCACCGCCTGGACTGGGCTCTGAATGACCTTGTGCATAATGTCCACCTTCTTCTGCACGACCTCAGGGTCTCTGTTCGCCCCGAACTCCGTGCAGATGCAAGCAGAAGGCATGTCCTCGACCTGGGCTGCGTCATCCTCCGTGCTTCCCCGCTCACTCTCCTTCCCTCACCTGGGAGGGAGAGATCTTCTCGTCGTTCATGAAGGCTCCTTTGCCGCGGACAGCCTTGTACATCTCCTGGGTGACCTGCCAGTCAAGGCTCAAGGAGCTTCTTCGAGCACAAGACGAGGGGTTGTACTGGATTGAACACAACGCCCACCATTGGCATCTTATCCACGACAAGTGCAACACCTGTACGTTCCTTCACCTCGAAGCATCACAGCCCATCCTGTTCGAGACTCACTGACACAAGTCCACTGCAGTCCATGCACGAAATTTGCAGTCCCGTCGATAGGGTCCACAACCTGTAAAGGCAAAAAGTGAGGAACTAAGAGGTCGCAGCTACGGATGGAGGGACCCAAGTGGGATCGTCGCTAAGGTTGTAACTGCCCTCGAACGATTCTTCACCTAGAAACTTGTGCGTCCTGAAGGTACCCAGTCACACGGGAACGTTCAAGGGCATTGGACTGACGGGAAATGTTTGGCAATGAGGGCCCGGAGGAGGTCCTCGCAAGCGAGATCGACCTCCGTCACAGGATCAGTCAGAGACTTCTTCTTGTTCACAACATCCCTGCCGGGCGAGTCACAAGACACGTTCATCGAGAGGGGAAGGAGAGGAGGGAGGGAGGGAGGGAGGGAGGGAGGGAGGGAGGGAGGGAGGGAGAGAGGGAGAGAGGGAGGGAGGGAACGGGGCGGGTTTGGTGGAGGAGGGGAGTGCGAAGGCTTTCAAGCGTACTTCCTAAAGCTCTTCAGGATCAGCCCTCCTGCTCCCTTCGCCCCTTCGATCGCAACTTGAAGGGCGAGGTCAAGATCCACTTCCTGTAAACTCCCTGTCACGTCCCATTCTATGTAGAGCCAGATTAGATACCTTGGTGGCTTCTTCAGCAGCAGACATGGTCAAGAATGAACGAACTTCTGATAGGACAGCAACAGTCATGGTTGCTAAGTGTAGAGGTGGAAGGCTCAGCATATGAGGGGAAGAGAGGGTTCCGTGCGAAGGAGGCAGAGCATGTGCAGCTTTGTGATGGACCGATTCCCTTGTAGGATAGAATTTGCATGAGATAAACGAATGGAAAAGGGGGAATCCAATCCATTCAGTGTGAAGGAAGGATACACGAAAATCAGTATGAGGAAAGTCAGGGGATGACAAATGTGCTGCATTGTAAAAGCATGCAAGTGAGGAGGAAAGGAACGCCGAGGTCATTGGATGCCAACCCGGCCATCAAGAAATTTCATGTTGGTGCGAGTGGGTAAAACAGTGAAATACGACGGCGGGAGGGGAGGGGGATGTGGCGAAAAGATCAGATGGCGCAGACAAACGCGTGAAACCACAAAGGAGGAACAAAGAATCCTGGGAAAGAATCAGCTGAGAAACGAGAGCGATCGCTTCATTGAGCTGGAGCAAAGCGGGGAAGGGTGAAGTGGGAAGTAGAGATCCGGGGCCAGGAGGGGAAAAGCGGAACAAGGAAAGGCAGAACATCGGAAGGCGGGTCAAAGCAGGAGAGGGTCATTGAGAGCAGAGGAAGGAAGGGAAGGGAGGAGCGCAGACGCGAGGAGGGAAGGGGAAGCGACTCGTGCCGGCTCCCTTTGTCCCCTTCATGGCGCATGAAGGCGTTTCCGGTACCCCATTCCCCGCTATGTGACGCTGTTTCCCCGGGCCGCCCGGGCCCGCCGCTGAGCCTCCGGGTGAAAGGCTTGACTCTGTGGACAGTTGATTGCGGCGGCTCAGCCGCTTGCCAAGTTCACTGCTTCACCCGGTGAGTTGAACATCGGAATGTTCGGAGCCTACACCTTGCCCGGCGCCGGGGGCGCGGCGGGCTGCCGGCGTGAGTCGCCGTACTACCGTACGTGGGGCCCTGGCCCGGCCTCCGGGCCGCTCGTCGGACCGTACTGAGTACGGTCGTCCCAGACAGGCTCCGGAGGCCGGGCTAAGCCTCCCGCCCGGCCCGGCGCGCCGGCCGGCCCGGCGGCCGCGTGACAGTGCGTGGCACCCGGTTACCCGGCGGCGCCGGGGGCCGGCGGCGGCGGGCCCGGGCGGCCCCCGCCGCCGGGGCCGCAGGCCGGACCGCCCGGGGCCGCCGGGGACTCACGGTGCCAGGACTGAACTTCGGGCGTTGAACGGTCAAACTTTGGCAGTGAAATCGAGTCACCGAAATGAGTCGTTCAACACTGAATCAAAAAAAGTATACTCGCCCACCGGTGGGCGAGTATACTCGCTCGGTGGGCGAGTATACTTACTATCGGACAGAGCCTGTAGTAAAAAGGGCCAGCTGCTGACGGACAAAAGGCTCACCGTCACCGTTCACGAGTCAAGTTAACTCGGCCCTTCACTGGATACAACTCAATTGCTCCTACAGGCGGCTGGAGTGAAGTAAAACTTCTTGGGAAGCTTCCACGAACGCCTTAGGTAACGTGACTGTTGCTGACAACTCATGACAAGAAGGCAGAGTTTTCAGCGAAAAAGACTCTCTTCGTGAAGTCTGACACGAAAAGGTTGTACCCGTGCCAGGCATCCCACGTGACAGACTGGAAAACGCAGCGGTCCGTGACCCCGGAAAAGGGTTGTAGGGAGCGTTCTTTCGAAGATGCAAAGCACTGTAAATTATCCTTGAAAGCTTCACCCGCAACACATAGATCTTCCTGTGTCCTCCTGCCTTCGCTTCTCAGCATCCTGCCTGCCTGCCTGCCTGCCTTCTCCATTTCTCTTTCCTCTATGACCTCCTTCTGCTCAATACCTTTGTTCCCCTCCTGCGCTTCTTTCATGTTGTCTTCATTACCTTCCTCCTCTCATGACTGGAGTATGCCTCTCATCTCACCGCTCTCCTCCTCTCTGGGTGTCATGTCCGGCATGGAGCGAGCTGGCGTCAAGACTGTCATGGCCGTTGCAGTCATGCAGCTCGTCCTGAGCGTCTCTCTGCTTATCGCTCTTGCTCGTTTGGTCGTCGCGGCTGCCCTGTGGCTGCTGGAGGAGGAGGAGGAGGAGTTGGAGACGGAGTTGCTGAGGCATGAAAGCAGTATAGAAGCGTGGCGCAGGGGCCTGCTGGAAAGGAGGAGTGAAGTGGGAGGCTTTGATAAGAAGAAGATGCTACAGCCGCACTTCGGCCAGACGTTCAAGTTCAAACGGGTGGGGGTGAAGTGAGGAGGGGAAAGCTGAAGGGATGTAGAGTAGATTGTCTGTCATGTAATAAACTTGAATGCACGTTTGCTCGAGGGATACTTGATTCACACTGGGTTTTGACTCTCCTGGGCTAGACAGCACACTCGGACTTTGGGTCGGTGTTTATACAGAGCTCTGTACCCTGTACCCGCTAGTAAAAGACTCTCACTCAGTTCCGATTCCTTCCGCTTGATGCACAAGTCTGTAAGAATCTTGTGATCGAGAGCGAAGATGTGGTGAGCAAAGAGTCTTTGCCCCAGGAGATGAAGCAGGTGCAAGATCGTTCTCACAAGGTGGAGATTTTTGTTCTAGTGGTCTATCATGCCCTCGACGTTTGTGTATACAGCAGTAACTCGGCGGATTGTAGAGGTATTTGCTGACTGAACAAGACAGGAGCAAAACTCTGGATGCAACTCTTCACTCACTCCATGCGGGTGCAAACGCTGCTTTCCTCCTGTCAGTCTTGCGCTCTAGCGACCTCCAACTTCGAGTACTGCAACTGCATCAGGCATTGTCAAGAAAGGGGCCTTCCTGCTTGGCTACAGCACAAGGCCACGTGGCTTGGACATGCTCAAGGTGGAAGGAAGAGGCAGCTGCTGTTGTCATTTCGCTCAGGTTTTCTTCCTCCTTTGTACGCGCTACTGCTTAGGACGGCAAAGCGTAGGGTAGGACTCTGCTAGCAGTGTAGGACTTTACTAGAACTCCAAGGAACCCGGGTAATCTGCATACGTCTCCCATGATCCAACAGTGGATGCGTATCGCTGCCAGAAGGTCCGGCCCATAGACTCCTGATTGATTTTGTTTTCCTCCGCCTCCACCCGCTCCGGCCGGTACTGGTCCAGCCTGCATCATAATCAGCCCGTCCTCAAGAGTATGTGCGGCCAGCGTACCAGAGCCTCCCGCTCCTGATGATTTCGCAGTCTCTCACCCTCAGCAGCCTCCCGTGATCCCCTGCTATCCTTCAGAACACAGCGCAAGAAGCAAACCCCAACCCCCTCCTCCTCCCTCCTCTTCGCTTCTCCTTCTTCTTGCTCTTGGTCTCCACTTTCACCTCCCTCTGCTCTCTCCCTTGTCTATATCATTTCTCCCTGAACCTTTCCCCTCCTCTCTCAGTTATCGTCCTCGTCCTCATACCTCCCTCCTCCCCCTCCCTCCCTCCTCTCTCCCTCTCTCTCCCTCACTATCTCACCAGGATGAAGAACTGAGAAAGCACAGACACAATCACGGATGTCACAGGAGCTCATCAGCAACGAGCTCTTTCCTCCCGTGCTCACTCCCTTGGCACAGTGTTCCACCTCGCAGTCCGAGACGACAGCAACAGCATGGCCGTACACGATGAACCCGCAGCTGGCCTGATACTTCGAAGTACCTCCCACCACACACCGACGTACTCTAACTCTCGACGTGTTGCTCAGCAGCACGCAGGCGTCTTGTCGCATCTGAACCACACAGTCGCTCACATCCCACCTCCCGTCGTAGATCCATAGGTGCCCTTTAACTGTAATGTTCCTGAGCACACCGCCCGAGCCGAACGACATTCGCAGACCACCATTGAGCACGGCTCCGTCCTCTCCTACCAGATTCAGCCGCTTCGAGATGACGACAGGCTTCGAGGCATTGGGTCCTAGGAAGTGCTCTCCAGTTCGCACGAGGATAGTCTGTCCGTCCACCGCCGCCTCCACCGCCTTGGCGACTGTCGGGTAGTCATCAGGGACGAGGACAGGGCACTCTAAAAGAGACAGGACGATGATGCGCATGATATGGTCATCCAGCGCTGAGAGGGAGCTATGCCTGCCGAGACGCTTGTGCCATGCCATAGCGACAGTGAGCGCGAGCTCTCGCAGAGTATGGTTCTCGTCTAGCTCCTCCCACTGCGGGTGATCCCTCCTTTGCTTCTCCTCTCCCTCCATCATCTCCTCTAGCTCCCTCCCTCTCCTCCTCTCCTCCTCCCTCTGTTCTCCTCCCTCTTCGTTCATCCTCGCTCTCCTGCCACCGCCTGTCCTCGGTCGCGGGCCCCCGCAGCAGCTGCTGTCTCAGTAGCGTCGTAGCGGCCTAGTCAGTACCGGGTACCGTACCGGGTCAGCCGCCGGCCCGCGGCCGCATCACTACTCAGTGCCTGAGTGCCGGGCACGGTTTAGTACGGTGGGTCCGGCCGGCACCGTGACAGCAGATTGACAGTGTCCTCGTTTCAGGTAGTTCAGTTCAACTTAACTTTGCCACGGAGAGACGACCGACGACATGACTCAGTGAGCCAATTTCTGTTCAAAGACTGCTTTCAATGACTGAGCATCGGGTATTACTCAGCCAGTGACACTGAGGTAGGCATTTCAAAAAAGTTTCAAACTACATAGTTACTAGTGACTCGGAACGCCAGCCCGGTCACTGGCCGGGCCGCGGCTTTGCAGTTTTCAGTGCCACGCTAGTAGGGCCTGGCTCCGACAGGCAGCGGCTCGGCGCGGCAAAGCACTGGCCTGCCAGCCAGGCGAGCTATCATACCGAGTCACTTCAACTTGGATTGAAGTTCAACGGTGGCACTTCCGAGAGATCGGACCACCAACCTGTCCAACAGTTAGAAAAAGAACGAAAAAGAAGAGAAATTAAAGGGACGATACTGAAGATAAATAACGCCGGTGAGGTGAGGTGGGAGGAGGAGGAGGAGGAGAAGGAGGAGGAGAAGGAGGAGGAGGAGGAGAAGGAGCCCGGGGAGAGGAGGAGAGGGAGGAAGAACGGGTAGACATATATGAGAAAGGGGAAGGCGGCGGAGAGCATAGCGGAGTATTGGGAAGGTCACTGCATCGGTCTAATCTCAAATCTTCATCACCTCACTTAATCTTCGTCAGCTCCGCGATTCTGGTCTGGTTCTCCCGATTGTCCTTTCCGATCTGGTCGAGGGCCCTGCGTGCTTTTTCGCCGATGGTTTCCTCCCCCGGGAAGTTCCTCTCCCATCTGTGGGCCCCCATTGTCCTCACTACGAGCTCGATGCCACCGGCCTCACGGATCCGAGTCTGATTCTCCTGGTTCCCATCCGACAACCTGCCGAGGGCGACGCTGGCAATGTCCTGCAGAGGGGAGCAGCGACGGTGCTGTTTCATAGCGGCAACGATCGCCTCGATCCCCCTGGCCTCCCTCACCAAGTCCTGATCCTGCTTGCTTGACATCGCAAACACGCTGATGGCAGTGCAGGCTGCGTGCAGGACCAACTGGTGCAAGGGGTGAGTAAGCATGGCCCCCACTGTGACCTCGATTCCACCAGCCTCTCTAATCAACTCCTGGACATCTGGGTTATTTTTCGCCAACACCGAGAGCAGGAGAGCTGCTTCCTGTTGCACTGAGACGTCCTGTCTGTGTTCCTTGAGCGCTGATATGACGAGATTGATCCCGTTCACCCTTGCGATCATGCCTTGCACTGAGTTCATAACGTTGATCATTGTCATAAGAACTCGGAAACCTTGGATCTGCACTAGGGCATCCTTTGGGTAGGCTTTTATCGCCGCTATGATGCATGCAAATCCCTGCACCTCAATGATCTCTACCACATATCTGAAATTATCGTTCGCCAGATAGCCAAACGCTCGGCAGCCCAGCGTCTGCACCTCAGCCACATCAATACAGTTGCTCATGGACATTGTGATTGCCCCGATACCATTGGCATTTTGGATGGCCATTTTACAGGACCTGCCGCAGGAAGCCATGTTAGACAGTATCAGGCATGCGTCCGTCTGTAGTTCGTCGAACTCCCAGTTCTGGCTCATCGCATCTAGTACGACTGGGATCCCCCCGTGTTCTCTTATCAACTCACAGATCCGGGGGACTTTTGAGAGTCTCGACAGGATCCTGCAGCCTTCCTCTAGCACTGCTTCCTCCGTGTGGAGCTGCAACGCATCCACGATCGCCTTGACACCATCTTGGTTCCCGATGAGCTCGAGGTTCTCCTCGTGTGCTCCTTCTACAAGGCTGGTCAGCGCTGAGAAGGCTGCCTTAATGATTACTTCTTCCTCTGCATGGTCCTTGATGACGGTAAGGATTGCCTCGATGCCTCCTGCCTGCCTGATCCGATCCTGATTCGGAGTGTATCCCGTGCCAGAGATCAATCCGAGCGCGGCACACGCGTTCCGCACCAAAGATAGACGCGTTGGGAATCGCTTCATTGCCGCCACAAGGGCCTCAACCGCGCCGGCCTCACGAGCACGGGCAATGCATAGGGGCAGCCGAAAGATGTTGAAGGCGCAATGGGAGATACAGCAAATGTCGAGGACGTCTTCATTGTCGCTGTGACGTCTCATGCACTCAGTCACAGAGCTGATCACATCGTTCTCTATGACGAGTTCAATCATGCTCAAGTTCTCTACCATGGCCAGATGCAGAATCTTCTGGCAGCATGCATGCATGACTTTGTTGTGCAGGGACTCCTTCATGCACCTGATGATCGCCTTGGCCTGATTACGAGTACATGCGACGGTCAAAAGTGGATCCTGGCGAATGGCCTCGGCAAACTGCATCAGCAGAAGCTCTTGAGTGCCAGGGCTACTTTCCAGCTCGAATTGTTCCAGCAACTTTTGGACAAGGGACCTGGATTTCACTTTCTTGCTGAGAGCAGTCTTCCTCTTCTTGGAGCGTTGGGCATCGATCTTGATTCTTTGAGAAGGACTTTGTAACTTTGACATGCTGATCAAGTTACGATTCTTACTACGTTTGCTGTAGAAATGTCTTAAGACCAGGAGGACTGGTAACAATGAAGGTGAGAGTAGGGAGGAGGCACCAATGGGACAGAGTTTTGGAGGGAGGGAGGGAGGGGAGGGAGGGAGGGGAGGGAGGGAGGGAGGGAGGGAGGGAGGGTAGGGA